CAGCTCATTGAGCCTAAAGCCGTCGCAGGTCGCGTCTGTCAGCCACTCCATTGCTGCGGCATCTGCTTCTGCTGATGCTCTTGCTGCTGCAGCCTCTGCTGCTGCCTCAGCAGCAGCAACTGCCTCCTCTGCCGCAGCTGCTAGACCTACAGCCCCACCATCCAGCGCTGCAGCAGCAGCTGCGGCTGCTGCTGCTGCTCCTGCGTCTGCTGCTGCTGACCTGTCCGCAGAAGCTTCCACCGCTGCACCCACTTCTCTCCATTCCTGTTCCCCTGCTGCTGCTGCTGCTGCGGCTGCTGCTGCTGGCTTTTGTTCCGTACTAGATGTGATTGCAGTGGGAGGTCTCTCTGCTGCCCATTCTGCAGCCTCAGCTCCTGCTGCTGCAGCTGCTGCGCCATCAAAACTACCCTCCGGAGGTGCTGCACTTGCTACGCTTTCTGCTGCTGCTGCTGCTGCTGTCGTTGCTGCATCGGCGATGTTCCCAGACGCTGCTGCTGTAACGGTTTCTTTCGACGCCGTTGCTGCGCTAGCATTCTCCGTAGGAGCAGCAGCAGCAGCAGCAGCGTTATGTGCTGCGGCAGATTCATTTCGTGCTGCTGCGATTGCTGGCAAAGCTGCTGCTGCACCAGCCGCACTTGCTTCTGCTGCAACTGCTCGGGGCTTCCCCACCGTATTTCCTGCTGCTGCTGTTGCTGCTGTTGCTGCTGTTGCTGCTGCTGCTTCGGCTCCCGCTGCACTTGTTGGAGCTGCAGCGTCTGCCGGGGCTGCGAGCTCCGCTGGTCCTGCTGCTGCTGCTGCTGCTGCTGCTGCTGCGGCTGCTTCTGCAGCATCTGGAGCGAAGGCCCTCCGAGCCTCGGCAGGCGCCGCTGCTGCTTCTGCTGCAGTAGCAAGAGCAGCTCCTGCTCCTGCAGGTATTGCTGCTCCTGCAATAGTTGAAGAGGCCGGCGAAGCAGCTCCTGCCGCTGCTGCCGCTTCTGCTGCAGCTGGCTTTGCTGCTCGAGACAGAGCTGCTGCTGCAGCTGCCGCTGCTTTAGCAGCATCGGCCGCTGCTGCAGCTTCAGCCTCTGCTGCAGCAGCTTCTGACGCTGCGACTCCCACTGCATTCCCTCCAGCATTCTTTGATGCTGCCGCTGCTGTTGCTGCTGCTTCTGCTGCCGCGGCCTCTGCTGCTGCAGCTTTCGCTCTTGCGACCTCTGCTGCTGCAGCAGCTGCTGCTGCCGCTTCCGCAGCGGCTGCGTCTGCCTTCGCCGCTTCTGCTGCTGCGGAGTCTGATGCTGCCGCTTCTGCTGCTGCTGCTTTTACCGCTGCCTCCTGTGTTGCTGCGGCTTCTCTTGCTGCTGCTTCTGCTGCCGCAGCCTCTGCTGCTGCGGCCTCGGCTGCAGCAGCATCTGCTGTTGCAGCTTCCGCTGCTGCAGCTATTGCTGCTGAAAGCTCCCCTGCTGCTGAGAGCTCGGCTGCGGCAGCATCCGCTTTGGCGGCTTCCGCTGCTGCAGCTCTTGCTGCAGCTTCTGCTGCTGCAGCTTGTGCCGCTGAAGCCTCTGCTGCTGCAACCTCTGCTGCTGCAGCTTGTGCCGCCGCAGCTTCTACTGCTGCAGCCTCCGCTGCCGCAGCCTCCTCTGCTGCAGCTTCTGCTGCTGCGGCTTCGGCTGCTGCGGCTCCTGCTGCTGCAGCTTGTGCCGCCGCAGCTTCTACTGCTGCAGCCTCCGCTGCCGCAGCCTCCTCTGCTGCAGCTTCTGCTGCTGCAGCTTCTGCTGCTGCTGCTTCTGCTGCTGCGGTTTCTGCTGCCGCAGTTTCTGCTGCTGCGGCTTCTGCTGCTGCAGTTTGTGCTGCTGCGGCTTCTGCTGCTGCGGCTTCAGATGCTGTAGCTTCTGCTTCTGCTGCTTCTGCTTCAGCTTCCGCATCAGCCGCTGCACGTTCAGCAGCAGCTTGTTGTTTCTTTGCAGCGGCTGCTCTGTTCCTTGCTGCTGCCGCAGAGCGTTCTGCTGCTGCTGCTTCCTTCTGTGCTGCAGCAGCAGCGCTACACGCGTAAACTTCTGCAGCAGCTGCTTCCTTTGCTGCTGTCGCAGCAGCAGCAGCAGCAGCTTCTGTCTCGATGAGCCTTTCGCTCGCCGCTGCAGCTGCCTCCTTTGCTGCTGTCGCCGTGGCATCGGCGTCAGCAGCAGCTGCTGCTGCTTGCGCAGACCGTGCAGCAGCAGCAGCAGCAGCGTGCAGTGCTGCTTGGCGGCCTGCAGCAGCAGCAGCAGCAGCAGCTCCCGCTATGGTCGTTGCATGCGTTCGCTGCGCCCTCACGCCCTTCGCATGCATAGACTCTTGTCTTGCTGCAGCAGCAGCTTCCTCAGCAGCGGCAGCAGCAGCAGCGGCTGCTGCTGCAACGCTTTCAGTCTCGCGTGCTGTTCTCTCTGCCGCAGCTGCTACGGCCTCTGCTGCGTCAGCAACCTTTGCTGCAGCTTCTGCTGCTGTTGCTGCTGCAACTGCCTCCCACTCTGCTGTTCTCGAAGCATCTGCTAACGTGCTGCTGCTGCTGCTGCTGCCCTTTCCTTCGGCCCTGTCTGCACCCTCTTCAAAATGCAGCAATGATATACAAACGGCGTCACCTGCTGCTGCTGCTGCTGCTGCTGGAGGCTCATCGCAGCGCATTGTTGCTGGGATTTTCGCTTCTGAAGCAGCAAGTGCAGCAGGAGCTGCAGCAGTTGCTGCTGCTTCGACTGCTGCAGCAGGACGAACATCTTTTGAGCCTGCCGTCTTCTGTGGAGGGCCAGACAGCAGTAGATGCGCCGCCCCATCCCCAGCAGCAGCAGCAGCAGCAGTAGCAGCAGCAGCAGGGGAAGGAGTTGCAGGAGCCGTTGAAGTGTCTGTTGGCTTTTCAAATACTTCACCTACATCGACCTCTCCTGCTGCTGTTGCTGCTGCTGCATTTGCTGCCCCATATGTGCAGCTGTCTCGTAGTAAAAATTCATCTGGTGCAGCAGCAGTCACAGCACCTGCTGCTGCTGCTGCTGCCGTCGCTGCTGCCTGAATGGCTGCAGCAGGAGCAGCAACAGCAGCACCACCTGCGGCAACATCCCCATCGAACAGCTCCTCCCATTCTCCTGAGCTGCTTAGGTCAGAGGACGAGCCGCGCAACGTCCTTACTTCTGCTGCTGCTCCTGCTGCTGCTCCTGCTGCTGCTCCTGCTGCTGCTGCTGCTCCCTCTGCCCTCAGTGGTGCTGATACTGCGCGTATAGACAGTCGGGAAGAGGGCAACTCCAAATCCTCCAGTCCAAGCAGGTGAGAGCCACTACCCTCAGCAGCAGCAGCAGCAGCAGCAGCAGCAGCATCAGCAGCAGCAGCAGCAGCTGCAGCAGCACCTGAGGAGTTTGAAGTATGCGTGTTCGAGTTCGGGGGGAAAGAGAATCAGGAGGGCGTGTTGCAGCTGGCTG